GATGATCTTTCGAGGTTACTAACATTCTGTGATTCTGTGAAAAGAGACACATTATTCTAAGCATTTCAGTGTTTTCCTGATAAATCAAAAGAACGCTTGTCTGGCTTTGAAGCAATATAAAGTCATATATTTAATTTCTGCCTATTCTTCCTTGTATCAGGAGTCTCTAGTTTATGCAAACAGAAGCCCAGAAGCAGTTCCGGGTGAAAAGGTTCTGCGAGACAATAAGGAACAACGTGATCAACAAAATCGTCTCAAAGAAATAGATCATCAGCTGAAAATCCTAGAGAGAGTTCTTGTAAGTCTCCTATTTTTGTTCTATTTTTTCCCCTCAGTTTAAAAACTTTGCAGTTTATTGTTTCATGTGTCATATATAAATCAGTCATATATAAATACATCATTAAGTCATAGAGCCAGGACTGACAAACCAAAACTTGTAAAATTATATGTCTCTCTCAACTAACATATTACCATTAGTTTCTCTTCCAGTGAGTATAATTTATTACATTACTCTCAAGTTACTATAAGGAAACATAACTAAAAACTAGTGACAGAGGAACCTCAGGGAGTTTAGGAATATTTTAAATTGTTTTTAAATGTACATTGTAAATGTGTTATTTGCCGAAAGAGCTACAGAACAGCCTATGCAGAAGAGAATTAGGAAGAAAATACATAAAATATTCAAAAACAGATGATTGAAAAGAATAGTCCCAAGATAATACAGTTATTATTTGACCTGAAAATTGGTGTTGGTATTTGTTTTTATGGTGCATCTCTCATAGATCTTCTTAAGAGCACAGGAAGAAAATATCTTTCGTTTTGTTTTCTTAGTAACTCTGTACAAAACTTTGAAGGTTTGCCTTGCTCAGGTGAAGTCAGGAATGAAACTGCTGAAGACTCAAAAGAACATTACTGAGCTGACAGCAGTGCTTAAAACCTGTATATATATGCAGATTTTTTTTGACATCTTTGTTTAGTGTTATGTTTCTGCTTTGAGATGAGAAAGCTTTTGTTTCTCCATGGAACGTGCTATGTGGGGAAGATAGACGAGTACAGTAGTGCATGAGAGACTGAGGTGAGATGAAAGCTGTTATGGATAACCTGGTGAAGCTGAATTTTTACTAGGAAACCCCAACTATTTTGGTATATTAGCAAGAGGCATCAGTACAAGTAATTGACTTAAAAGAGCTGTGCAAATGAAGGTGGTGGTGATAGGGAATAGTGAGCATGGGTTTGCTGAAGGCAGGTCCTGTTAACCAACCTGATCAAGCCTTTGCTTAAATGACTAGATCCACTCTATAAGCAGAAGGGCAGGGCTGCCATTCACTGGGAGTTAGGCACGTTTGTCAAGAACAAGTGCAGATTTCTGCCCTAGAGAGGAATACTCTCTCTGGCAGTGTGAAGTGGAGCCTGGCTGGCCAGGGACCAGCACTGCTGGCATCATTGTGGACAATACGTGAGCCAGCAGCGTGCCCTGCAGCGATGAAGATTAACAGCATGCTTGGCTGTATCAACATGAACACAGCCAATAGATTAAGGGATTACTCCCCTTACCTAGTACTCATTAGACTGTTTGGAGTATTGCATCCAATTTTGGGCTCCCCAGTGAAATAAGGTGTTGACACACCTGAGCAAGGTCAGCAGAGGGCCACTGAGGTGATTTAGGGCTAAAGCTTTTGACCCGTGAGGCTGAGGAGTATCAGTATTTTTACTGAGTTACATGGTGGGAGAATAAGAGACAATATTAATAAATTTAAATGAGAAAGTTCCAACTGGATTAAAAAACAAACAAACAAACCAACCAAAACCCACAGCCTCTGAGGGTAATTAAGAATGGGAAGCAGGTTGCACATAGAGACTGTGAAATCTCCATCCTTGAAAATTTTGCAGACCTGGCTGGACAAAATAAGGCGTTTGATCTGATCTCATAAGTGACCCTGCTTTGAGCAAGAGGTTGGACTAGAGACCTCCTAACAACTTCTCCTCCCCAGTCTGATGATTTTTTGATTCTACAAGGAAAAGGATCAAGAATGTTTATTAATTTCTCAGGGGGTAATCTTTCTTTATTATTAGCACATTGAAGGCAAAATAGTAATTTTGCATAGTTGTACATTGTAGAAATTTTTCTTGTGTGTAGCTGATCTTAGTGTTTTTCATGTAGTCATAAAAACATTAATATATGAGTTTGTCATGTCAAAAATCCATGTGGTCTACCATTGGCTTGCAGAGGTCTTTATTCAGCAGTAGGCTTACCTTCTGCAGTAGTCAGAGCTAGGACAAATACTGTTCCAGTTACCTCTTATCACCCTCAAAAAGGGATCTCCAGTGCAAATCAAAAGCTTTGTGATTCAGGTAACAGTGTAACCACAGTGGTATAATCTTAATTACTGATAGCACTGTCACTACAGTTGCAAAACCTTCAGCCACTGCCTGCGCATGCTGAGTGTATGCTGCCAGTGCTGGAACTGCACAACCGATATGATTAGACTTCTAGCAGGTTTAAAGCTAATTTGGATACAACTACACAGAGTTTAGTCTTTGGTTTGAATAAAAAAAAAAAAAAAAGGCTAATTGACACATTCTTCCTGATGTCAGTTAATTTTACATACTTACGGGGTATGGGAACAAAGAGTTCAGCTAAGGAGACAGTGATTGCTTTCAAATCTGTTCGTTTGTGTGTGTGCCACTACAGTAAGGCAGCATATTTAGTTCTTATCTGTTCACAGTACCAAAACAAGAGCAGACCTTCATTTTAATACATTACTCTATTATGTTAGTCAGTTAAAAGATGGGAGGCAAATAACTGGGGGAATTCTGTGGAACTTCAGTATATTGGATAGGTTGATGGGTAAACAGATAAACAAGTCTGCTTATTGTCATATTTTCCTAGTCATTGACCTTTATATCACATTTTGTCACTACTGACCTTGTTCACGAGGCAAACACAATCTGAGGAAGTGCGTCTGCTAACTGTGTGATAGTCTGCAGCAGGCCTGGGAAATGCAGTGGGCTGCTGACTCATTGCAATGTTGTGTGTATAGATGGGTCAGTTCCAAGTCTTGGTTGGGTCATAGCAGTGTTGTTTGGTATCACATTACACACACACTCTTGCAACATACCACAGGTTTTTCCTTGGCTAGATTGTATGTGTTTAAAATGCTAAATGGGTAGACTGTAATGTTAATTTACAGTGTTTATAAACATAGAATATGTCCTTTGTACCAATGTGTAACTCATGGTCAGACTAGCATTGCTGCGTGCTGTGCAGGACCTGGTAAGGCTTCTTCAGGGGGACATACTGTGTCTTCTTAGCAGTTGCTGCTCTGTAGCATGACTTTGAGATCACAGCATATGGATATGAAATATTTGTGTATTAGGTCTTCTGCAAGATACTTTGGTTGCCAGTGTAAATAAAGAAGTATTCAACTGTGAATGAAAGTAGGTTTTTTCTTCTAACAGTAAAGTAAAATTTGAAGAAAATGTAGACGTTTTGTGTGAACAAAGAACAACCTTCACAAAATACTGTTTTTTTTTATTATTTTTTTTTTTATGTCCTGAATACTTTCTAATCTTATTTTCTGGAAAATACAGTTATTACTAGAGTAGATTGGGCAAAACAGCATGGTGTCACCTTCTGATGCAACATGCATAATTGAATAAAATTTTTCTTACTTGGCGTAGGAGTGTCTAAAAAAAATCAGATAACTCTTATGCAGTGTGGATTGGGTGCCTTGTTTCTATACCAAAGTAATATTTTGGCCATCAATTCTCTAACAATATTAACAGCAAAACTGCTCTCTGCCAGGAAAACTGTGTGATGAAAAGCTAAACTGAATGCTTGGGTTGGGGGGGGGAGTACACAGATGGCATGTTTCCAGAATAGTTTAATTATTTCTGCAGATACTGTTTGGCATTCAATAGGTGGCACTCTTCACTGTATGTCAGAGGAAGAATGCTAGGCATGGTTCTAGGGGGTATTATTACTGGTGAAAACGTCATTTCTGTGGTATAAAATACAGGTGGTGAGAGATTGTCTCTCACGTTTGGCAAGGTTCCAGGTGTGCAGCTTTTAATGTTCAGTTATTTTTCTAACTTAGCTAATTAAATTCTCTATTTAAAATTCACATTGCATTTAAATTTCTCCTTTACTCTTTCCTAAACCACTGTAATTCACTGTGTAAAACTGGAAATAAATTATCTGCTCTGAGCAGAGGAGGTGATTTTTCACCAGTTAGGAATGTTATTTCTGAATGCATGGTTTTACTGGGCTTTATAATTTTAAAATATAGTATTTTAAAAATTTAATATCTGAGAGATGACTTTTTAAAATGTATTTTTAAAAATCCTTCAGATAAAAGAAGCAATAAGAACAAGAAAAGATTTTCTTTGTTTTTGTTTCCTAGATGGAAATTATAGATAGTTTAATTAAGCAGAATTTAGCTCTGTGTGTTAGGGAGTAACTACAGTGATATTTTTTTTTTGTGTGTGTATAGTACAATGCTGTATTTCTTCCACTACTGCAAAATTAATTACACAATTGGATTTGTATAATGGTAGCTTTACTCTGACCTTCTCTTCAAGGGGAGGAATATATTCAACATATTTCTGGAACAGGCTATTTAGTAGGTGCTTGCCTCTGATTCCTCCACTCTACCTTACCTCATGTGTGCTGTGAGACTTCATGGTTTCAACTAAGTCTGGAACTGAGCACACGAAACAAGGCTGGAAGATAAGACTGTAATGTACTTTACAATTTATATAAGAACCAGAAAATCTGCTAAGTATTATGCTTGAGGTAATGAAACTAAGGGCTTTGGAATCCGAGTTCCTCCTTTATTTTGAAAAAATTGTTCCCAGTGAATTAATATACCAAAGAATGTATTGTATGCATTGTTGAAATGCATTGTGAAATTTCAATCCAACTGAAATGTATCTGTACCATGGTTTCTGGGCCCTTGCTGAATTTCTTTTAGGTTTTAGTTTGACCTTAGTTCGCTTGTTCTTCATTTGAAACCATGGCTGACTCTCTCCACATTCTTTCATCTTTCAGTTTCCTGGAAACCATTGAGCTTATCTTTGTTTTGTGAATTGCATTGTTAACTGCTGCTTCAAAAAAAAAAAATGTTCAGCTGCCAAATGCGTGTTGCTGAGCATTAATGAAAAGAATTTTATATAGAAAGAGTAATAAATGTAGTTATTTTTCAGTTGTCACTTCTACTAGTTGGCCATTTGCGATAATCCAGTAGCATGTTTGATGTGTTGAATTTCTTCATGACAGATAGTAGATTTAAATACACA